TTTTTTTTTTTTTTTTTTTTTTTTTTTTTTTTTTTTTTTTTTTTTTTTTTTTTTGAAAAAGAGTGCAAAATATTACTTCAATTAAGTTATCTGGATGAAGGAAACGCAGCTGGAGAAAATCTTTCCACAAGCACCAATGGCTTATATACTGTTAATGGAACTCTAATGTTGTGTTTTCATTTTTCATGCAAGGTTCAGTTTTATAAATATAAAAAAATTGAACTGTTTTTATTAATGTAATTTCTGCATTAAGTTTTATCATATGTTATCATTTCTTTTACTCCTTGACTTCTGCGTTCCTGTTGTATTCAACTTTGTTAATGAAAAAGAATAAATAAATACTAACAGTTATAGTATTGTGTGCATATTTTATTTTGTTGATGACTACTGGTGTACATTTTTTAATGCCCTTTATGAGATACGATTTCATTACCTGTATACCTTTCTGTACCGAAGGATTTAATACAACTTTGCGACAAGGAAACGTTACCCATCATGAGTATATTCAGGTGAGATTTGTCTTCGTTTAATTTTCTAATCTGGGATCATTTGAAGTGGTGAAGTTATTGAAACTGTTTGAGTTGTTTCAGGTCGGTAAAGGACGAGATGTTGGTCTTAATCAGATTGCTCTTTTCGAAGGGAAGATTGCTGGTGGTAATGGAGAACAAGTTCTTAGCCGTGATGTATACAGACTTGGCCAACTGTTTGATTTTTTCCGGATGATGTCATTCTATTTTACGACTGTTGGCTACTACTTTTGTACTATGGTATGCCAGTACGACACGTAGATTCCTACATTGAGAAGTTGTTTGAATTCATCGCACTATTAGTAGGGATATTTATGGTTTGTTTATCTGGAAAAAAAAAGAGGCCCTAATCTTTGCTACATAGTTTTACTGCGTGCCTTTTCTGAAAAGATAATGCTTTATTACGTGTTTTAATCTTGTCTTTTTTCTTTTTATGTTTTTATTTTTAAACTTTAGTACCTTTACACAATGACGTACAAAATATCTTAATTATGCCTACTTTTAAGTTTGGATACCAACTGCTTCTAATCCATATTAGTTTCGAGGCAGTCCCTGCGATATATGTTTACTCATCTTAGGAAAAGTATTGATGCTCCTTGTAAATTAGAAACATCTGCATCGAAGTGAAGTATGTTGCAAGACGATGCAACAAAATAAATTATTATTGAAGACCTCTTACTATTTATTGAAAAGATTGTATGTTAAATGAGTAATATAAGTTAAGCCTGAGAATTATGTCATCATAATTTATAAGAAATCTGATCCGTTTTATTTCTTTATGATCTTTTGCAGTTAACGGTGTTGACTGTGTACATTTTTCTCTATGGGAAAGCATATTTGGTAAGTTTTATTGTATGCAATTACTATATTTCTACATATGAGGTATAGAAGATGTTCTCTTCTTTCGAAGTTCTCTGCTTTGTAGTGGGATGTAAATTTAAAATTTTCTTGATATTGTGGTCATAAGCTTCACGAGGATTGTTTGGAAGTAGTTCTATGCCCCTATAATCAAAAGTTTTAAGTTTGCTTGATAAATCCCAGAGGCACTAAAACTACTCGATTGATACAGTTAAGGTGAATTCCAGTGGAGTTGGTCAAGTAGTAGGCTTCAATGTTTACCGGGTTAATTTTCTTTAATTGCTTATTTTTCATTTGTTTTCAGATCTGATGTACTCTTTTCTTATGCTTGTTTACGAATGTGATGCTGGACTTAACTCTGACTAGGGGCGTGGGTCAGATTGGATTGTCTTTTGGTCAAAATTGATTCTGGAACCACTGTTTTGAAAATTGGATTTGGTCTTTTCGGTTTTTGGGTTTCAACTTGTACCCCTAACTACGACTAGTTTACATGTTTGTATGGAAATATTTCCTCTTTTTCAGAAAATAATATACTGAAAAGATGTGCGGCTGTGTTTCAGGCACTGTCTAGCGAGGGCATGGAAGATAGAGCCCATATTACAGATACTGCTGCATTGTCAGCTGCTTTGAATAAACAGTTCCTTATCCAAAATGGTATCTTCACTGCAATGCCGATGATCTTGGGATTTATTTTGGAGCAAGGTTTCTTCAGGGTAAATACTATTCTGAAATATGTACACTTTTGTAAGGAAAAAAATTGCCTGCTCTTGTATAATCTGAACATTAACATGATGATATCATTGTCATTTCTCTCTCTCTAATCTGAAGATTAGCTTCAAATATAACAGTAAGTGCTTTTTGGCCCAATGAAGCACCCTTGTTTGTAATATGCTAGAGCAAGTGCAAGCGGTCCTCTTGTCAACGAGACCATTAATTAGTTATCTTCTTCTTAGCAGTCTTTTATTTTCTCTCAGATATTATTCTGAATTACGGTTGCAGGCTATTGTCAGCTTTATAACCATGCAGCTTCAGCTTTGTTCTGTCTACTTCACATTCTCTCTTGGGACAAATACTCACTATTTTGGCCGAACAATTCTTCATGGTGGTGCAAAGGTTTGTTCTGCTATTTTTGCTGCTCCTTTGTCAATCTCGAAGATTGCCATATAGTATCTTAAGAACTCTACTTCTATACAGTATCATGCAACTGGAAGGGGCTTTGTGGTTCGCCATATCAAATTCTCAGAAAATTACAGAATGTACTCTCGCAGCCATTTTGTTAAAGGGTTTGTGTCATTCTTTCCCTTCTCACATGAAATTTTCTAATGTATTATTTGAACTCTGCTTTTTGTGTAAATTACTCTGTTTTAAGCTGTATGGGTAGTGCTATTGGCACCATCCTTTACTTGACAATATCAAAATTAAAATCTAAAAAAACTTATTTTAATTTATTTAAGTTGTCAATGCAACCAGCTATAAACCCAAATATGTTTGAGATACTGGGTTCTACATCATGATGGTTTATTGAGGAGATCGTGTATTATTCTAGTTTTCAAAGGTTGTAACGTGAGACAATTATCCTAAAGGAGCTGTCTTGAATTCTACTTGACTATAATTTGTGAACATAGTTAGGCAAATTAGAAAGTACCTGCTCGTTTCACACAAATACAAAATATGGCACGTATTCATATAGTTAAATAAATTGAATCTGTGTGATCTGATCAAACTATAGAGACTACATTGAACTTTCATAACCCGACCAAATTGAATCAACTGTCATTTTTAAAATTGTAAGTACTAAATTGAAACCTTTGAAGTCTATGGTGTCTTATTGTTTTATTATACTTAATTGCAAATAATTAATGTATCTACATTATTGTATTTTCAGATTGGAAGTTGTGCTCCTGTTGGTTGTATACATGGCCTACGGATATAGTTCAGGTGGTTCGATAGCATACATCCTTGTCACTCTTAGCAATTGGTTCATGGCAATATCGTGGCTTTTTGCTCCCTATTTGTTCAATCCATCGGGGTTTGAATGGCAGAAGTAAGTCATATTCACCATTCCGTCGGTTTCTTCCTTAATTTGGCACCTTGAAGGTCTTTTCTTATTAGCGTGAAAAGGAGATGACAGCTTCTGAATCTTCCAGATAAAAATAATCTTAATCTAATTACCTATGTTTCCTTTTAGGACCGTGGAGGACTTCAGAGAATGGACCAATTGGCTTTTTTACCGTGGTGGAATTGGTGTTAAGGGTGAAGAAAGCTGGGAAGCATGGTGGGACTCAGAACTGGTAATACAATTTTCCATGTACTTCTTTATTATTTCTCTCTTCGTTTTTTTCTTTTTCTTTCTTTTATATGAACTTTAATGCAATGCTCGCTAGGTCTGTACTTAATAATAATATCAGTTCCCTCTCAATGCAATAATGTTATGGTTACAAGTCAATGCAACATTTTGTTTGAAATGATCTCCACATGATCATCACTCAGCAGCAAAGGATATGCTTTGAAAGCACCCAATAAGCTTCCATCTGCTTTTATATATAAACCATAACTGTACTGTAAAGGGGCAAAACAGAATTACCGATATGGATTTATGTTACCTCATGTGTTGATAGATTATGCTCGTAGTTACCGTTAAATGTTTCCTGTATAAAGGCTATTCAATGAACCAGAAAATTACATTTTGGTAAACCTATGAGCGACTGGGTCATTCTTTTCTGGTCAAAATGTAAAGTGCTTTTACAATTTGCAGGCACATATAAAAACTCTTGAAGGGCGGATAGCAGAGACTATTCTGAATCTAAGATTTTTTATTTTTCAATATGGCATTGTTTACAAGCTCAATGTGCAAGGATCAAACACATCATTGTCGGTATGGTCTCTCTATGAAATACATTTTTCCACTTTCTTATTTATTCTTACCAATATTGGATGCCGAAGTTAAAAAAAATTATGAGCAGCAGTTTGATGTTATTATACTTTGTAGTCATCAAGTAGTTTAAAGGCCATCTTTTCCTTGTTATTAACTTGTTGTAATCTCCAAAATGTGCAACTCTTTAGGCATATGGGTTCTCCTGGATTGTGTTAGCTGGGCTTATAGTTCTTTTCAAGGTGTGTGCAATTGACTCGACTGGTTTCCTTTGTGTTTTCCAATATGCATGATAGTCATTAGATCTACTTCTCTTCTGCAGGTTTTTACCTTGAGCCAGACGATGACCGTCAATTTTCAGCTTTTGTTGCGTTTTATCCAAGGTCTATCTTTCCTTTTGACGCTGGCTGGCATGGCCGTTGCGGTTGCTATTACAGACTTGTCACTGCCTGATATATTCGCTTGCATCTTGGCATTTGTACCTACAGGATGGGGCATTCTTTCTGTGAGTTCCCAAGCCTAGTTGTCCTATTGTTTTACTGCGTATAATTTATATGGTTGGTTACCAAGTATCTAGGGATTTATTTAGATTACTGTTACCTAGCTAGTATCTAGGGTATTTAGATTATGATCAAGATTTAGTTAGCACTCCATCCTGACATAAGAATATTTCGTGTTTCAGATTGCAGCAGCTTGGAAACCTGTGATAAAGAAACTGGGATTCTGGAAATCCATCTGCTCAATTGCTCGTCTGTATGATGCCGGGATGGGGATGCTCGTCTTTATCCCCATTGCATTTCTTTCGTGGTTTCCTTTTGTATCGACATTCCAAACTCGTCTTATGTTCAACCAGGCTTTCAGTCGAGGGCTCAAGGTCTCACTAATTCTTGCTGGAAACAATCCCAACACTGCCCTATGATGAGACCAGATTCATGGACTTCCCCAAACGTACGTTTGTACGTTTTCAAACTTCAAGGACCTTTTAAACCTATTTATCAGAAGTCATAGACTAAAAAGATGTATTTTCAAACGTCAGGGATAAATCGAACCTTGACCATAAAAGTAACTGTCCCGAACTTTTATTATCCATACGTAACTTCGATTTTAATTCGTGTTGAGTTGTGCATGATAGTTTATATTAGACTAAATTGTTACAGGTCCAAAAAGAAATATAGTGGATAAAGCATAAGGTCTTGTAGGGAGTCCTAGCATTGTACTCATGGTTCCCACCAAAGGGTAAGTGAAGTCAGCACCAATGCTAGCCCTCATGTCCCTTATTGGCAACTTGAATCCGCTCGGAGCTCCCTTCTCTGCAGCGTCGTGTGAGGAGTATTGTGTTTCTGCCATGCAGATTGGTAGACAAACTCTTGTAAAGCCCGTGGCAGCAACGGAATTGGGGAAAGTATACAAGCAAAGACTATTAGGCTGATTGCTAAATCACGAACCTCCCACTAGGAACTGCTAGGAAATGCTAGGAGACTGGGTTTTAACTAATTTAATGTTCAGTTTCTAAGTTTTTAGTAATGATACCACCATATCCGAGCCTCACAACTAGGATCAAAGTCTTTCCAAGTACAATCCTTTTTGTGGTTTGGCCCAAGAGGAATAGTAGGATTTTCAGAGAAATTTAGCCGCCCTCTTGCAATGCGAACCAGCATTCACACGCTAGCGTCTCTTGAGCCACCCCCGATTGTTGATTGGGGTTGTGATGGGGTTGGACGGCCTCAGGAATTGGCGGGATTTGCGGGCAAAGAGATACATACGAAAAAACATAAGTAAACGCGCCTATGCTTGAGCCTCCATCGACAAAGCTTGTTTGTAGGTGACGGTTCAGGAATTGGTGGGATTCGCGGGCAAAGAGATGCATACGAAAAAACATAAGTAAACGCGCTTATGCTTGAGCCTCCATCGACAAAGCTTGTTTGTAGGTGACGGTCCATAGGGTTTTTTCTAATCTTTTTTTTGTATACCTTATTGCATTATTTCGCTGAAAGCTTAGTAAATTCACCGTAAAAAACTTAAGGTAAATCAAGAACTACAGGATCCGATGTTTCCCTATAGAGGTGTGGGCTTGGGTCGTTACAGTAACCATGTCTTGAGGGGGAGGGGATCTTGTTTCCAGCTAGTTGCACTACCTTATACTTGTAATCAAATGATTTCTTGAAAATTATTGTAACGACCCTAAATTTTCACATACTCAGAGTCGCTACTAACGTCTCATGCTCATCTATAATGTGGAAATATAACTCTTACATGAACATAATTGATAACATAAATTTCAAAAAAACACAACTTCTTCTCTGGAAAACACAGCCATGGTCTTACGTGTTTAAATATGAAATACTAAAATGTAGATAAAACAAATACAAAATAATTTAAAACAATGTAATGTAAACCAACTTATTCTAACTTAAGACTAGAAATTTATAACTTAAGACTAGAAATTTAAATATGAGTTTACCCTATGCATGTGCCACAGTCTCTGCTGTGCGTCTTGCCTTTACCTGAAAAATGATGTGGCATGCGGCCTGAGTATTTCAAAGAATAGTCAGTAAGTGGCCCCATTATAGGGAGCCATGTAAATGCAAACACATGCAATCATGATTTAGGGACCTATCTCTAATCATCTTAGGGGTGGCCTCCAGTCTCGGACAATGTAAATGCAAACACATGCAATCATGATTTAGGGACCTATCTCTAATTATCTTAGGGGCGGCCTCCAGTCTCGGACAAATTGGATGGGTAGTACTTCCCTACACACGACTCACACGTACGAGTGTGAATCCCCAGGGCACTCGCACACCCCTTGGACCCTCTGGTCAAGCTAATCTGTAGCGACGTCTGGAGGTCAGCGGAACCCCATAGTGTCATGCACCTCATGAACACCTTCATCTGTGTGCTTTCGCACCTGTGCGCATACGCGCTCATCATCTCTAGGGGAAGTAGCCCTATGCTTATGAACATACAATATGCATGAGGTCCCTCTAAATCCATCCTAATGTCTCTTCTGACACAACTCTCTAGTCTCATCTCTTTGTTACTCTAGGTAACATATACTCGCGGATATTTATATTAATATCATTTTCACGCTCTTAGGGTTGTGTCCTATGTCGATCTAACGACATGATGTAATATGACACTCATCATCACATAGCATGCTCAATATGGAAAACATCATCATATTAAGGTAAACGTCACGCAATCATCATACTCATCATATTGCCACAAAGTGCATCAAACATATCAAGTACGACATTCATCAAAATATATATATACTGAGCACATCATCAGGTATCATAAGCCACACATCATCATAAGTCATACGTCATCATAACTCATATACCGCATCGTACGACATAGTTCATACAACATTGTAACTCATACAATTTTTAGCCTATCCTATAGTAAGATCACTTACCTAGTTGGCCTTAGTCGAAGATTCCCTAATTTAATTAACGTAAACTCCCGTTCCTCGAGAGCTGCTCCAAAGGTTGCTAGAGTTCGCTTCATATCAAATCGTTCGTCACCTTTCGTTAGTATTTCACATTTTAATTAATAATCCAACTAACAATGTGAAATACAGCTCTAAACCGGTCTCAGTAAAAATCAAATTCCACGTTTTCATTGTTTCTAAATTTTGGTTGGGTAGTAAAACTTAAATTGAAAATATGTCAATATTATTTTCAATCGTTCAATCCAACTCTGGTTTGTTATAATATTATATTAATAATTTCTCACATCTTCCATTTTCTTCTCTTCGTTGTACCACTTTATTTCTATTCTCTCTGTCTTTTTTTTCTTTCATATAAATGACTGTGCAATTATAAAATATTCTCTCTGTCTTTTTTTTCTTTCATGTACCATGCAATTATAAAACAATATTCAATCAATTCTGTTTTCTTCTCCTCCACGGTATGACTATCAATTAACAGAAGCCATTTTCAATATATTTTTTTTCTTCTCTTTCCAAAAAAACTATTATCATTAACCGAAGACATTTTGAATGTATTCTATTTTCTTCTCTTTCTTTTACCATCTATTATGTTTTCTCCTCTTTCCTAAAACTACTATCATTAACAATTTTTCAATCTAGTCTGTTTTCTTCCTTTCCTATAAATGATGATTACATTTAGATGCAATTGACGAAGCCATTTTCAATCCATTTTGATTTTCTATTAGAGTATCCAAAAATCTAAATAATTGAAAAAGAGATCTAAGATAACTTTTCTATCTCAAAAGATAAAAGAAAAGAAGATCTAACTTATCGATAACTTTTCTATCTCTTTCCATTCCTATTAAATCTGCTTGAAGTGAAGGCAGTCTCCAATTCTTCTCTCCCAAAATCTGTTATCTTTCTTTTGTTTTTTCCTCCGATTTTTCTCTTCCCAAAATCTGCCATTTTTTTTGTTTCTATTTAGTTTTTTTTGCAGATCATTTTGCAGTTGGAGAAAGGGTTGGGGAGATATTTGGGGAAGATGGAGAGAGAGTCCATAATTTACTTTTTTTTTTTTTTATAATTATTATTTACTTATTATTATTATTATCTCTTTTTTTTCTTTTTCTCTTCTTTTTTTTCGGGTCGTTACAATTATTATGTTATTTCTATAAAATGTTTATTAGACCTCGAAATCGGTGGTTGAAGTAGTTCGTTAATAATCGTATTCAAAATTGTATCACTCCGTTTTGGTGCTAATTTAAACTTTTCCAAACGAGATTAGCAAATACATTCTAGTTGATCATAAAAGTATATATAAAGTTAGATAAACGGTTCAACTCGATAAAAAAAAAATATAGTTTTTGAACGTGTTCAATAAATCTATAAATGAAATTATTAAATGGTAAAATGCAATTTTTGTCATTTTCGTTAAGCACCAGAATTAATAATGTTTTTTTTAATCATGGATTAATTTAAAACACATGTAATTTATGAATTATCCCATATCCTCAAAGTATGTGTAATACATAACAAAAATAAATTTATAATTAATTAGAATCATTTTTTAATATAATACGATAAAATAAATCAGTTATTTAAAATATTTATTTTTATTGACAATTATTTATTCTCTTAAGTTAATTGATTTTAACAAACCATCACAATCAAAATACATAAGAAAGAACGAGTATTAATAACATGATAACATATCAACTTTGTTGTTACTTAATTCACGGTAATATCAATGAAGGCGTCAATTCAATTATTACTAGTTCATAAGATAAGAACGTGAATAAAATAGTACTGACATTGGAAAGAAATTGCATACGAGTTCAAGGGCTCCAAAATTACAATAGAAATTGTATAAGAAACGTGAAATGTAGCCTCTCATCATGACGAGATAACCTTTAACATATAATAGATTGCTTTGAAAGATAGACGAAGAAAAAAAAAACTCTCTAAAATGGTTATGAAATTTAACAAATGTTTGTCTTAGGATAAGAGAATAATTTGTAGCGGGCGTAGTAGTATTGATATCAAGACACTTCATGTGATGTCCCACATTAGTTGGGGAGGAGAACAAACCACCATGATAAGGGTGTGGAAACCTTCCCCTGGCTGACGCGTTTTAAAGCCTTGAGAGAAAGCCCAAAGAGGACAATATCTGATAGTGGTGGATCTGGGCCATTACAAATGATACCAGAGCTAGACACTAGATGATGTGCCAGCCTTCTCGCTGTTCCCTGAAAGGGGGTGGATTTGGGGGCGGTCCCACATCGATTGGAGGAAGGAAAGAGTGCAGTGAGGACTTGGGCCCCAAAGGGGGGTCGCGTTTTTAAAGCTTTGAGGGGAAGCCCTAATGGGAAAGCCCAAAGAGAAGAATATCTACTAGAGGTGGATCTGGGCCGTTACACTTCAGATGAATAATGATGAAGGCACGTTTCAAGCTTCAAGTATCGATATTTTATAAGCAAAAATATATAAATTATAAGCCAAAAAAAAAAAAAACACTTCATTTTTCAATATAATTAATATAAATAATTGTGACAAATTAAACAATATTTTATAAGCAAAAATATATAAACTATGCTAGATAATTTTTTAAAATTTAAATATAAGCATTATAATATATTATTTTATATGTAAATATATGTATTTATAAAGTATAGTATTTTAT